TGTGTGCGTGTGTGCATGCATGTGTCCTGCCCTGTATCTTGGACGGATTATATTCAAACTACATATGCACATCAATTTCACAATTTTTGTGCTGAAAAATCATCAAAATCAAACATTTCTGGCTATATTTACAAATGGATTTTGTTAAAACTAGGTATGTATAAATGTACATTGTCATTATGGGATCGTGATGCATATCATTTTGTTATCCAGTTCGGATTTTAAATGGTCGACTGGCGGCCATTTTGTTTTAATAAATGCAGTTTTAGTGCCATATCTCTGACATGCTTTGACTGATTATGTTCAAATTTTATATATTCATTATTCATCATGTCACATATATGTTTGTTCGACGATCCATTTAAAAATGGCTGATCAGTGGCCATTTTGTTTTAATTAATGCTGTTCCAGAGCAATATCTCCAATTATGTACCTTTATGTACACTTCACATTAAGTCCTCGTTTGACGATCAGTAGTTTTGTAATAATGATAATTTATTGATACAACACCATATGAACGTTATACAGAAGTATGTTCATTATCTGAAGCACTTAATAAATAATTTGCATTCTTGAATTTATTTAATTTATCAAACTCTAAAGGTAATTTTTGTAAGGTCTTTATTGCTTGCAATATAATGTTTTGACAGGATATGGATTAACTGAAACTGGTCCTGCTACAAATATTTGTTCCCGATTTGAAGAATTTCATCCTGGTTCCGTTGGACCGTTATTACCAAACACACTAGGCAAGGTACAAGTCATTTTACACCTATTGTCACTTTCGTTGTTGACCCTCTCACCTTGTTGTTGACCCTCTCACTTCCACTGTTGACCCTCTCACTTCCACTGTTGACCCTCTCACTTCCACTGTTGACCCTCTCACTTCCACTGTTGACCCTCTCACTTCCACTGTTGACCCTCTCACTTCCACTGTTGACCTTCTCGCTTCCATCTCACTTCCATTGTTGAACCTCTCACTTCCATTGTTGACCATCTCACTTCCATTGTTGACCATCTCACTTCCATTGTGGACCATCTCACTTCCATTGTTGAACCTCTCACTTCCATTGTTGAACCTCTCACTTCCATTGTTGAACCTCTCACTTCCATTGTTGACCAT